AGTTAAAAGCTAGTATCTTTGTTATTACTAGATTTATTATTTTTAGCTAGATTGGACATCCTTGTAAAGTTGGGTGTTGCAAAATTGATGTTTATGTTGCAAATATTTCTTTCTGATATTTGTTATAAAATTGTATCTTCATTAGGTCTAGTTTGGTTGATATCTAATCTGTATATGAGTTGAGTTGTCTGATTCATTTACTCCCTTTTTTGGCCTCGTCATAAGCTCTTATCAAGTCTCTTTCTGTTGTCTTGTTTAGTCAATTAGGAAGGGTGCGTAGAAGGGAATTGTACGTCAAGTATTCTGGTCAGATCTATGATCTCAAAGAAAATTGGATTCACATAATGGATTAACTGAAAGGTACATTTAGCTACATCTCGTTTTAGCTGTATCTTCGAAGAAAATTGACCTTCTTTGAGATTCTACCTGCGGATGTAGATGTTTCATGCTTATTTTTCACTTCTTAGTCAATATCCTTGTACTTCTGTTATCTCTGATGAAAAAGTATCAATCTTTATATGCGAGTCTTAAACCCATGTATTCTTGGTCCTTCATTTCCTTGGTCTATTTCTAGTTTCCGCCAGCTTCAGGTGTTCTTGCCCACTGAAAACTGAAAAGAAAGGCTTACAAATAACCTGGTACCCTGACAAACAAAAAAACTATAGTATTTCAAAAATTAAGTATGGTTAAAGGGGTAATTTTTATGTTCTAGCTTTAATTATGATAAAGATGTAGGTTGTTTCGATGAAAATTATTGAATGGTTAAGAAAACTAACAAAAAAAGAATATCTGCAGCACCTCCAAGAATGAAAATGAACTACAGTACATTTTAGGACGAGCTAAAAAGAAAAGTGAAATAATTTCTAGGAAGATCAGCTTATAAAAACTCATTTATTTTTTTTATAGAAAACCAAAAAGAATTCCATCGACCTTAATGTAAGAAACACCTTCTAGTGGAAGGAATCATTGATTATTAAAGCTACCCTTCTCTCTCTCTCTCTCTCTCTCTCTCTCTCTCTCTCTCTCTCTGTTGGTGTATTCTTTTTTCCCTTTGACATCTGATGTTGAACTAAATTGTTGGACATATAGGCTTAGTGCGGTGAAAAAAAAATTATAGGTTGGTGAAAGAAAAACTTTTTCCGTCTTTTGTAAAGTTCAGCTACTTATTCGCAAAGAAGAAAAATGTTTAGCTTCTAGTGTGTAGCTAAAATAAACATTTCTTTGGAGCTGTTCAAAGCTTTCTCCTACATATATAAGGACAATATAGACCATTTTACAGAAGTTTTAGCTACAAAAATAGAAGAGAGGAAATTTTGAAATTATGAAAATTCGAGAACAGTACCCTGCAAGCTTATAGAGGAAAAAGTTACCTTGAGTGCGGTTAAAATTGTGTACTATTCGAACTGTGCCCCATTAAATCTCGTGGATTTCTCGGTTATAAGAAAAATATCGTGTACTATTTTCAAATAGCTTATTCTTCTGCCCAATAAAATTATTTGGCTTTTTTTTGGGTCTGTTCTGCTCTTGACGTGATCATATCTTCTGTTTGGAAGGAGAGAGACGTACTATTTTGCTTATTATTGTGACTCGATCTGGTGCAGGATGTTGGTCTGTCATGATTTTGCAGTGGTGATTTTGATGTTGCACAAAGTTTTACTTCCTCTCTGCTGATTACAAGAACTTGGAGTAAAATTTGATTGCTAATGGATCGAAAGGATACTTCAGGATTCGTAAGCGGGGGTGCGATGTGCTCTTGTAGACACATCTAACCCTAGTTAAGACTAACTTTTCTTAAGCCCGGAAGTCAGGCGACTGTTCTTTTTCAGTTGAGATTTTGTTCAAATAGGAGTTTTTGTATCAGCTATTAGCTTATGGATCCTAGATTCCGCTATGTGGGGTTTACTGTGAACCCTCAGTTAAATGCATTCAAGAATCTTGGCAAATCCGTCACAGTTGGTGGAGCTGGAGTTGGAGGTGGTCATTGTGCTGATACCACCTTACGGCTTGATTCGATTGGCTCTTCAATTCCTTCTATCCCTTCCGCAAAAGGAATCAAGCGGAAATGGAGCTCAATTGGTGGATCTGCTGATCAGCAAATTGGTTCATCTTTGTGCCTAGGCTTAGGCAACTCGTCAAGTTCCTCTGATAGTAAGGGGAGCTCAGGCGCTGCGTGCACTTCAATGTCTTCAGCAAGAGAAAATGATGAAGGGTCTTCGATGGACCTGGACTTGGACTTTAGTCTCCATCTTGGTAATGAGAAGATCCCAAGCTCAAAAAAGTCTGCTCACCCCAATTCAAGTAAACTTGACAAAGGGCTTGCAGTTGATCTGGAACTAAGTCTTTCTAGTTGTGCTGCTGAATCTGATGTTACTACTGTTCATTTGCTCTCCACCTCACCACAAAGTATCATGAAGGCGCCACAGGCTATAGCTGGAGCTTTTCACACTGATGAAGTATCAACAGCTACACATTGGAAGGCCAGCAACATTGTCCATCAATTACAAACTCCAAAGGAAGCTGATTCTAGTTACTTCTTGAACCAGACTGCAGCACTAATCAAGCAAGCTCCAGTCTCTCCTGATCTCTCGTCAAGTTTAATCACAAATTCAAAAAGCTCAGTCACCTGTACTTCCGGGTTAACACAACAGCAGCAGCAGCAACAACGTAGCAGTAGTACCAAACAGTGTCAGTTCAAGGGATGTGTAAAAGGAGCAAGAGGTGCTTCTGGCCTTTGCATTGCTCATGGTGGGGGCCGTAGGTGTCAGAAACCAGGCTGCCACAAAGGAGCCGAGGGTCGGACTGCATTTTGCAAAGCCCACGGGGGTGGTCGTCGGTGTGAGTTCCTAGGTTGCACCAAGAGTGCAGAAGGACGCACTGACTTTTGCATTGCTCATGGGGGTGGACGCCGTTGCAGTCAAGATGGGTGCACTCGTGCTGCCAGAGGGAAGTCTGGATTATGCATTCGACATGGCGGTGGCAAAAGATGCCAGAACGAGGGCTGCACCAAAAGCGCAGAAGGTCTCTCTGGCCTCTGCATTTCACATGGAGGTGGCCGGCGCTGTCAGTACCCCCAGTGCACTAAAGGAGCGCAAGGAAGCACCATGTTCTGCAAGGCACATGGTGGTGGTAAACGTTGCACCTTTGAAGGGTGCAACAAGGGTGCAGAGGGGAGCACGCCTTTTTGTAAGGGTCATGGTGGTGGGAAAAGATGTTCATTCCAAGGAGGTGGGGTCTGCCCGAAGAGTGTTCATGGGGGGACACTCTTCTGCGTGGCGCATGGTGGTGGCAAGAGATGTGCCGTGCCGGAGTGTACCAAGAGTGCAAGGGGAAGAACTGATTTTTGTGTACGCCATGGTGGTGGAAGAAGATGCAAAGTCGAAGACTGTGGAAAAAGTGCTCAGGGAAGCACTGATTTCTGCAAGGCCCACGGCGGAGGGAAGAGATGCTCTTGGGGTCAGCCCGATTCTGAATTTGGCCAAGGTGACGGTCCTTGCAACTCATTTGCTAGAGGGAAGACTGGACTTTGTGCATCTCATGGTGCTCTTGTGCAAGACAAACGCGTTCATGGTGGTGCTACTCTAGGGGCTATGGTCCTGGATTCAGCGCCAAACCAGCCCGAGAAGATGAAGGGAATTGTCAACCTAGAAGACATCTGTTTTGATGCCATGAAAATGCAGAGTAATGGTATGACATCCGCCAACGGTTCTGATGTGGAATATTTTGGATTTAAGCAAAATACTAATATGCAAGTTGGAGGCAGCTCATCATCAGTTTCTGAAGGAAGGGTGCATGGAGGAAGTTTGATGGCATTGCTGGCAAGTGGTTCTGGCCGTACCTCAAACAGCAGCAAGGGAACAGTTACTGCATCAGAGCCCGGGAATTCTTTCCTAGTTTCCAAGAACTGGATGTAAGATGTATAGCCACTCTGTATTCTCAAGTTGATTGTAAGACTACAGCGTTTCCACCGCTATGTTATGTCATTTTCGTTTTAGCTTCTTCACTGTTACAGTGACTGTGAAGCTTTTCTTTCTTGTGTTTAGTGGGTCTGAACTAGAACTTCTTACTGTTAAATGTATGTGTTTCAATAAGGGGAACCCACTAGGGTCAAAATTAGCCTTGTGAGGTTGGTCATTGGTATTTGTTCTATGTACATAGCTTTTTTCATGTAACATTTGGTCTTTGTGAATATTCAGTGGAGTATGAGAACTTGTAATAGTAAACCTTCTAGCAGCTTTTCATCCTGACCTTTCATATTTTCCATTTGATTATTGAATATTATGAAGGTTCCAATAGTCATCATCGCGTTGTATTAATTCATACAGTTGAATGCAAGTTTTCATTCATTTCATAGTTTGGTATGAGGAGATATGAATGCATGCATGTCTGTAGCTCTTTGTAATCGTTCCGCTGAGCAGTGAACCTCAGTCAAAGAGATGTTTTTTAGGCTTTGTTGCATGCTGGATACATCTTTGCCCAAAGATCTAACTAGCTCTGCAGCTTGGCTTGTTGCTTCCTCAATCTCTCTGAAATGTTATCCTCAGATTATATGGTGCCTAAAAGTAATCAAGGTGATGAGATGAATGTCCGCCATATATTTCAAGAGTTTTAACTTATGTGCACTGACATTGTACAACTCTTTTATACCATCAAGTTAAGATTACCTAATGCAACAGCTGACTAATATTGTAATTTTGATTTATCACAAATCAGCAAGACATCCTCACTAATTAGGGTTGTGTGTTGACAGGTAATTGAGAGTCTCTTCTGGTCGTGCTAGTCGTATTAGTACTAGTCTTGTATTCTCCTATTCCGAGTTCCTTGTTGTTAGACGACGTGGCATTATTACGAGTAGTTTTCGCACTTATCGTGTAGCTTCGTATTCCTAGATCTTTGCTATTACATGCTGTGATATTTATTTCCGTTATCTTATTTCCTTGCCATTGTTATTGTTTGTCTATTGTGTTCTTTTCATTATTCTTGAGCCGAGGGTCTATCGGAAACAACCTCTAGATAGGGGTAATTACCCTCTCCAGACTCCACGTGTGGGATTTCACTGGGTTTGTTGTTGTTGTTGCTGTGAGACATCCTCAGAAGTGAAAGTCCACCAAATGTTATAGTGTGAACCTCTAGATAGGGGTAATTACCCTCCCCAGACCCCACGTGTGAGATTTCACTGGGTTTGTTGTTGTTGCTGCTGAGAGACATCCTCAGAAGTGAAAGTCCACCAAATGTTACAGTGTGAATCTATAATGAAATAACATAGTTTTGTTTACTACTGTTAAGTAAAACTGAGTACACTTAATATTCTAGATGCTTCTGTTTTTTTCATTATAAACAAGAAGTAGCAATGCAGAAAACATGACTAACAAATGGACCAACTTACTTCCAAACAACAACTGAATCACAAACATTGTGTGTCACTTCCTCCTATAACTCTATGAAATCATACAATTCCAGTTTGATTAATAGCTTAAACATGGAGAAGAGGATCCAACTGATAAGAAGTCAGCTTTTTGTACAACGTCCATACTTGTTTCTTCTTTCAGTAGCCTTTGCTTTCCTTGTTACAGATCCATTCGGTTTAAGTCCAGTCGGAGAAAATGACTTTAGGCCAGTGAAGAATGACATTGCACCATATGAACAAGTCATGGAAAGTTGGCATGGAGACAAGAAAAGCCGGTTAAGCCGCGGAAATTTGGAGTTTGTTAATGAAATTTATGGTCCTGAATCACTAGAATTTGATATTTCAGGCCGTGGACCATATGCTGGACTAGCTGATGGACGCATTGTAAGGTGGCTCGGGGAAGACATTGGCTGGGAAACATTTGCACTTGTCACTCATAACTGGTAAGCATATATTATAATCTTCAAACCATATTTTTGTTTATCCATTGATGTATGTGTACTTTATAAGGTCGGAGAAGCTGTGTGCAAAAGGGAAAGATTCAACGACGTCTAAGCAATGGAAAGTGGAACCACAATGTGGGAGGCCGCTTGGCCTGAGGTTCAACAAGCAGAGCGGCGATTTGTACATAGCAGATGCTTACCATGGACTCCTGGTTGTTGGTCCTGAAGGAGGCGTCGCGACGCCCTTGGCTACACATGTCGAGGGGAAGCCCATACTCTTCGCCAACGACCTTGATATCCATACAAATGGCTCCATCTTCTTCACTGATACTAGCAAGAAATACAACAGAGTGTAAGTTTACGTTAAAAAAGTTATAATCTTTCGAATTTTCCAAATAGTAGTACTAATTCTTTATTATGTGAATGTAGGAACCATTTTCTCATAATGTTAGAAGGAGAAGACAGTGGTAGGATTCTTAGGTATGATATTGCTACAAGAAGTACTCATGTTGTTTTGGATGGATTGGCTTTCCCTAATGGTGTACAATTATCAAAGGATCAATCTTTTCTTCTCTTCACTGAAACAACCAATTGTCGGTATGTATCCCTCTTTTCTACCCTCCGCTCCCCCCCCAAAAAAGAAGGGGAAAATAAAGAAGGGTCGCACCTCAAGAGGTGTGACGTAAGCCTACTGTAATAACCCAGCCCACAAGTGATATTATCAGTTTTGAGCCTAGGGCCGCACGACTTTTAAAATGCGTCATTAGAGTCGAATTCCTGTTTACTTATATACCCAGCATTTCTCCTATATTTTGTCGATGTGGGATTCGCCTGGGGTATCACATAGTGGCTCTGATACCATATGTAACAGCTCAACTCACTAGTGAAATTGTCCGCTTTGGGTCTAGGCCCGCACGGCTTTTAAAACGCGCCACTAGAGATTAAGGGCTGTTTACTTATATACTTGGCATCTCTCGTGTTTTATCGATATGAGATTCGCCTAGGGTGTCACACCTACCCTAATACAAGCATTAGTGGCTGCTTCCATAGCTCGAACCTATGACCTACAGGTCACAGGGAAACAATTTTAACGTCGCTTCCAGGCTTCCCTTCTTTAATTCAGAATAGATCGCCTAAATGTTATCTGCTGTTGTTGTCAGGCTAATGAAATTGTGGCTAGAGGGTCAAAAAGCAGGCAATGTTGAGGTTATCGCGAACTTGCCAGGATTTCCCGACAATGTAAGGGCGAACGAGAAAGGTGAGTTTTGGGTGGCGATTGATTGTTGTCGAACAAGATCACAAGAAGTTCTAATTCATAATCCATGGATGAGAAGCATATATTTTAGATTGCCAGTTCAAATGCGTTACTTAGCAAGATTGATGGGAATGAGAATGTACACTGTTATCTCACTCTTCAATGAAAATGGAGAAATTATTGATGTTCTTGAAGATAAGAAAGGTGTAGTTATGAAGTTAGTAAGTGAAGTTAGAGAAATCAATGGGAAGCTATGGATTGGAACTGTTGCTCATAACCATATTGCTACCCTTCATTACCCTTAATTAGAGATTAAATTGGTGTATTTGTAATAATTAGCAAATTCACTTGTTCTTTACTTTATTTAATATAAATCCTTTTTTTCATGCTTTGAGTTATTTTTGTGGAAATAAATGAGACATGCATGTTGCTATCTTATTGTTTGAACAATCCTTTGCTCTTGACTAGAGGCGTACCTATATATAAAATTTTGGGCTCATCGTACTGAGAGAAAAGCCTTGACTTCCCCTTGTTCTGTCCTTCAAATTCGGAGATTGAAGAAGATCACTCTATGCAGCAACAGAGGCAAGATCTCTATATGTTGACAGATATCTGAGAGGCTGAATTCTATAGTCTCACTTATTAAGAAGTATATAAATGACTAATCAGAAGCGCGTAGACGAAGAGAGAGGCTTTTTCGAAAGGCTAGAACTTTTACGGACCCCGCAAACTTAGGCAGAAATCTTGTATATGTAATTGTATACTTTGAAGATGATTATATAAATAACTTGATATCATGAATACTAATAACCTTTAGGGGGCACTAGTTCAGCAGAATAGTGTTGGTCTCGTCGCGTTAAAATCTTGGGTTCGCCTGTGGTCTTAGCAAAATGCCAAAGAATATGTGGCATCCAAGATCCTCATCCAACAAGCCTTTGAAGTGTTACCCTTTGCCTTAACTTGCCTTATACAAGTCTACAAGGTACATAACTATTAACTAATGGTATTGATCTCACACGAGACATAGTATAATTGATCATATTTATAAATGGGGTTGAAGAATTTCATGTTTAATTATGGTATCAAACTTTGTAGATACATAAAGGAAAAGACTTCATTATAAAAAATTTCGCGCTTTTATGATTGCAGAGCATTATTCTGCGACCCTGCATTATAATTGCATTGAAGCTAGAGGTCGGTATGGTACGGTACGGTATTTAGACATTTCGATTCGATATTTTTGGTATTCGATTTCTTAAAATGCTATACCAATACCGCACCTAATTAAATTCGGTATGGTTCGGTTTTTCTCCTTTCGGTTTCGGTTTATTCGGTTCGATGACTTCGGTTTATTCGGTTTGAACACTAACTAATGTATAGAGTCATAGACTGTAATATTTTAAATTAAAGTACTCAATAGTACAAAACTAAAAACGTTTGTTGACAAAAGTTTTGTCCAAAACTAGCGAATATCAACCCAGAGAGAAAAAACTATACATAAAGGAATAAATTGATCATTAGAAATGTCTTGTTATGTGCTTAGAGTTAATTGATGAACTTAGAGAATAAAGGAGAGTAAAATTTTAGATTTTTATATTTATGTTATAATAATAATTTACGTATTGTGTAATATAATATATATTCGGTACGGTATCGGTATTTCGGTATTTCATTTTAAAATATCAAATACCATACCTAATACTAATATTTTTTTAAAATTTAAACCAAATACCATACCGAATACCAAAATATCGAAAACTAAATACTAAAATTTTTGATTTCCGTACGATAATTCGGTATTTATCAAATTATACACAGCCTTAATTGAAGCAATAAACTTAACCACAATGTTTTCACCTTTTACCCCAATATTTACGTATATGGTTTAATCGACTTTATATTAGCCATATATTAATTGACTTATTAATTATAATCTTTACGTATTTAGTAATAATACCAAAAATGCTACAAAATGTACAAACAATTTTTTTTTTCCAAAAGTACTGCTTCAATAATCTGGTCTAGGTTCATTTTCTCGACTTTTGGCTAGCAAAAAAGCCGAACAATTACGACAAAATGGAGTACCGAAGTGTGAAGATTCTTGGATTTTGGACTACTCTTTTTTTCTTTTGGTACATGGATTTTGGACTACTCACCCTTAAAGCACGGAGAAATTCAAAAATAACCAAATTTACAACCGGTCGTTCAAAAATAGCTCAGTTTCAAAAGTAGTCGAAATTTAGTCACTTTTTATGTAAAGATAAATTTGAGCGAAAACATTATTCAAAAACCGAAAAATACGCCAGTATATTATGCTGGAGTTCCAACATAAGTATACTTGAACTCCATCATATTATACTAGAGTTCCAGGATAAGTATGCTGGAACTCCAGCATAATATGATGGAGTTCCAGTATAAGTACACTAGAGCTCCAGCATAATATACTGGAGTTCCAGCAAGTATACCGGTCCAGCATAATATACTGGAGTTTCGAGCACCGGTGCTCCAGTCTTCAGTATATTATACTGCAGCCAGCAAAGTATACCGGTCCAGCATAATATACTGGAGTTTCGAGCACCGGTGCTCCAGTCTTCAGTATATTATACTGCAGCCAGCAAAGTATACCGGTCCAGCATAATATGCTGGAGTTCATACACATGTGCACCGAACTCCAGTATATTATGCTGGATCGGTCTCTGTTGCAGCAAAATTGTGTCTATTTTTCATTGACTTGGTAAACGCTGGCTATTTTTGAATGACCACTCCGAAAATTGGCTATACCGTGCTATTTTTACCTTAAAGCAAGACAACTCTATATTTATGTACTTTTTTTAAAGGAAAAATGATATTGTATAGCCGCTGTAAAAATAATGTCCAAAAAAATATATAAAATTTGTATATTTTTTGTATGTATATATATATATATATATATATATATATATATATATATTCTGTATGTTATATACAAAAATTATATAAGTTTTATACAATATATATATATATATATATATATATTCTGTATGTTATATACAAAAATTATACAAGTTTTATACACTTTTTCGGCTTCCCGATATAAATAGTTTCTGGCACGGGCTAAAAGTGATAATAACGTTTTTGTATGTAGGTAACTTGTCATTTTTTTTAGTAATGTTTGATGTGAAACTATACCATTTATATATACAATTCTATAATAATGAATTTATTTGTATGTGTATCACTCACTCCACCAATAGATCCACGTGAATAATATTTTCCTCTTGTCTCAAATATTCCTCATTTACTTATTTCAAAATATTTGACGTTTTAAAAAAAATAAACTATTACTTTTAAACAAATACTTTTATGATTAAAATTATTAAAATATTTTCTTAAGCAATTTAGAACTTTTAAAAGACAAATAATGCGAATAACATGATGTATCAACAAATTACATAAATAGAAATAAGGAAAAGAAGTTCTATAAGCAAACAACAAGCCAGCTTATGCATTAGTTGTTATTAGCAAACAAATTGTGGTCGGTTGCGAATTAAATAACGGGCAAACATCCCTCTTAACCTACGATCGAAATTATTTTACATTCAATAGCCGCAAAAATATATAAAATTTATATATCTTTTGTAATATACAAAAATATTTATTTTCTTGTTGTTGTTGTAAGAAAATATCTATTTTTAATTATTATTTTCGAAACGGCTAAATAATAATTATTTTTCCTTAAATAACATAAAACACTATATTTGTTTTATTAAAAAAAAAAGGAAATACGGAAAGGGACAATATTCCCTACTGTACCAAACGATAATAGAATCCAATAGATTCTCTTCCTCACGTCAACCGTCAAAAACGTCAACTTGCATACCAGACATATCATTTTTTTTTTAAAAAGAAAAATTTACAATCTCAAAATTAATTGAAAACCAACCACTAGGGTTTTTTTTTTTGGTGCTTCGAGGAAGAAGCAAAGTAGATGAAAAATGCACAAATCCAATGTATTCAATTCCTCCATTTGCTAACAAAATTAGAGCTTCATATCTTTACCATAATCAAATTGGTCTCATGCTGAGCTCCAATTATACTCACTCTTTTCCTCAACGCCCTCTTCTTTCAACTTCAGCTCCTAAATTTAGGGTTTCCACATTTTCCCCCAAATCTCTACCCACACTTCCACATAGAATCAAAATCTCTGAACCCCATCACCGGATTTCTACCAAGGTAACATTTTTTGTAGCAATTCAATCTTTTTTTGCCATAAAGTTTCAATCTTTATTATTATTTTGTATCATTGGAGCTCAATTTATTGAATCTTTGTGTTTTTAGTTGTGGGCTTTGGTAATATAGGTAGTGGGCTTATGTTTTTTTCTGTAAATTTCATATTTACTAGCTGTAAAGTTCCAATCTTTATGATTATTATGTATATTTAGAGCTTAATTTACTGTTTGTGTTTTAGTTGTGGGATTTAGTAGTATAGGTAGTTTATGGCTATTATGTATCTTTAGAGTTTAATTTGTTGAATCTTTGTGTTTATAATTGTGGGCGTTGGTAGTAAGGTACTGGGTTTGTATTTTCTGAATCTTTTTTGTACAATTCAATTTTTGCTGGGAATAAGTTTGATTCTTTGCTCATTGTTCTGTATTTCTGGAGTTCAGTTTGTTGATTCTTTGTGTTTGTGGTTATGGGTGTAGGTAATATCGTAGTAGGTAGTGTTTTTTTGTTTGGTAAATCTGGTTTTGTAACATTTGATCTTTACTCGCCATAAAGTTCCGATATTTACTCGTTTTTTTGGGTATTTCTAGAGTTTAGTTATTGATTCTTAGTGTTTATAGTTGTGGCATTAGGTAATATAAGTAGTGGATTTATGATTGGTAGGTCATCCAAGGTAACATACCACACAGTTTCTACCTGTAGGTGTTAATTCTGTATATGAACTTAAATAGTTATCTTCTTGTAACATTTCAGTCTATATGCTTCATACGTTTCAATCTGTACTCATTTGTAGATTTTATTTTGTTAATGCATTGTTTTTATAGTTTTGGGGTAAGGTGAAATAGGTAGTGCGTTTGTTGTCTTACAGGATATCCAAGGTTACCTACCTCAAAGTGTCAACCTTTACTAGTGATTCTATATCTGAACCCAGATAATGATCTTCTTGAACATTCTTTATTCCCCGTAAAGTTCCAACTTTTGTTCATTATTCTGTATTTCCAATGTGTATTTTGTTAATTCTTTGTGCTTTTAGTTGTGGGGAGGGTTTATGTTTACTGGGATGCCCAAGGTTGCCTACCACAAAATTTCAACCTTTACTAACGATTCCGTTCTG